CCGTGGTCAGGTGGGCGTGCATGCTGTGGGTGAGAGGGGGTGGGGGTGGTGGGTGTGTGTGAGACTGTGGGTGTGGGTGGGTGTGTGCAGGTGTGGGTGTGGGTGTGACTGTGGGGTTATCGTTGCTGTTGTTGATTTTGGATTCAGAAAACAGATGGGCCTTCATGCTTACCTTATTTCTCTTTCATAGCTCGATTCTGGAAAAAAAAAAAAAAACAACCACATAAGCAAAATCAGGAGGGTAATCTTGAAAACAAAATCTCACTCACCGGTGTGACGGACCGTTTCACCGCTCACACCCTGAGCGTGTGACATCCGTGACCTCGCAGGCCAGACGCCCAGAGCTGGCCGGGGCCAGATGCAGGGTGTCGGCTCATTCAGTCCCTTATCAGCCTAAGGGGTGGCAGCTGCCATTACCATAATCTAAACAGACCAACGGGAGGGCGTTAGCACTACCCTTCCCGCATCTCACGGGCAGGGACTAAATGCTTTGTCTCCTCTCATTCAAGGATACATTTCCATCAGAAGGTGGCAGAATGATCAGTTTACTTGTCACACCCACCCCCGAACGTGCCTCAGCTGTCTGAATCGGCGCACACCTGGGAGGGCAGCACCCCAGCCAGCCCCAGCCCAGGCCCACGGCTCTGCTCTCCTGCCAGGCTCTGACCATCGCACTGCTCCTGAGACCTAACAATACTGTTTTCCTTACTTCGTAGATTTCTCACTCACTCAGTTCTGACAGCACCTGCCCACTCACCCCCAGGTGGAATCTTGGCAGCAATCAACAAGAAGGGAAGGAGAGAGACCTTTGGGGGCGGTCACGAGCGTCCCCAGAGGGGCTGGTTTGCCAAGGGGCCCCTAGGCCCTGCTCTAGAAGCTACAACCCTGGTTGACCAGGGAGGCCTGAGCACTGTCCGGCACCAGTGAAACAGCGCCAGGGACACCTTCAGAAAAACGTTTTTACTGTGTTTTTACTATGGAAACGATTGTCACGGGACCTCACTGGGGAGAAATGTGTCTTTTTCTTTTATTTTGTTTATACTAATTTGTTTACAGAAGATCTTGTTTGGCTTTCACCCATTATATCCACGTGGACCGGCTGGAGGGGCTTTGGAAATCTACAAAATGGGGTGCTGGCCGGGGGCGGAGGCACACCCCATCACCCTGGCAAAGGTTTCGGGGCAGGGGACAGAGGAATGGCTTCCTTGCTTAAGAAAACCTCCTTCGTCCCTCCTTGGGGGCGCAGCGGGTAAAGCGCAGCACTGAGAAGCTAAAGCCACTTCCGCATGAGTTCGATTCCCGCCTGCCCCAGAGGTGACCACAGGGGGCGGCAGACCTCTCCTGACCCGCCCGCTGCTCCCCTCAGCAGTGTACCTCATCACTTGGCCTGTTCTGCTCCCCACTCTGTTTCTGGGGAGTCCTCTCACCTCCCGCACCTCTGTCCTGTACCCCAGTTCTGTGTGCACAAATAAAACTTTTTAAAAAAAAAAAAAAAAAGGAAAGCCTCCTGCTATGAATTTCACCCATTTCCTCTGAAAACGCTGAAGACGCTGAACACAAACGCATCTTGCGCAAGCGTGGAAGACCCTCACCCGCTTCTACGGAGTTTGGAAATAGGGACCGTGAGCCTCCGCGAACCAGGAAAATTACCTTTCTTCTCCCTCCTGGAGCCGCGACAGCAGCAGAGCACGCTCATCAGGACGATCACCAGAATCAGCAGCAGCGACAGGGAGGCCGCCAGCAGGGCGATGGCCCAGATGGGCAGCGAGACGTGTGGCTCCGCCGGGCCGCCTGTGAGGAGAGGGGACCCCGTGGCCACGCCGCCCCGCGCCCTCAGCCCCCGAGTCCCGCGCCTGGAGCTGGTGCCCGGGCCGGTCCCTCCAGAACATTCCGTCACAGCTTACTGCTGCCAGTGAATGCCTGGCCCGTGACACGGTCCAGGGGTCCCCTGACTGCGACCGCTGGCACTCCAGGAGGCAGACAAGGCCGCCGGCGGCAGGCCTCTGAGGCCGCGAAGTCATGGCCAGGCTCCACGCCCTGCGCTTGGGACGCTGGTGGGCAGTTACGGCACCAGCGAAACCAGGTCTCGCCTCCACGTCCCCACCCGGGGGAGGCCGGGGTCGGAAAGGCAGACAGACCAGCTGAGGAAACCACCGGAACTTAGAAGGGGTCACTCCTCCTCCCCACCCCACACGCACGGCTCGTGTCTCATCCACTGGCTGATTTTCCAGGCTCTTTGCGGCCACCCCTGCCCCCTCCCACCCGGTCTCCTCTGCCCTGTTGACTGCCTGACCCAGGAGCTGCGGGAGAGAAGGACTCAGTGAGCAGGAAAGGAGCTGGGGAGGAGGGACGAGAGGGAAAGGCCTCTGAGGCTGGACAGCCACGTCTCGCCAGCAGGCCCGTTGCCATGTGCTTATCCAAAGCCACATTTAAGTCAATTAAAATTATGCAGAATTAAGTACTGAGCACCTCCGTCCACTGGCGAAGCGTCCAGCTCAGTGTGCACAGATGCAGGACGCTGCCCTCGTGGGAGCGACCCTCAGAGGTCGCTGCACAGCCAGCGCCTGGTGAGCACGCTCGGGAGAGAGAGCCCGCTGCCCCTCATGTCTCATGCTGGACCCAGCAAAGCAGAACCATGGACACCCAAGTTCATCTGTCTGAGTGGGAGCTGCTATTGGATCAAGGCTGCCGCTCAACCCTGCGTGCCTGGCAGCGTCTCGCAGTACCTGCTGCTGTGCTGTTAGATGCTTGGCTTTAGAAGAGGCTGAAGCCAAGGCTTCCTGTGGAAATGATAGGGCTGCTTTTAAATCTAAGGCTTTCCAGCACTTTGGAACCAGAAGTTATAGTTAAAAAACTGTCCTTGTGGGCCCTCCCTGGTGGC